GGCGATACGTTCCTCCGAAACGTCGGTTAGCACCACATATACACGGTGCCAAATCCAAGAAAACTGCTTTCTTCATAGTCACCGCCGTGAAAGCCTCTGATCTTACATAGTGTTCCTCTATGGGAAGGCTACTCAACGAAACATTCGACGACTCGAGACGCTACGAACCAAGAAGACTAAACTACTCTGTACCCTTCCCTTCCTTCTTAGATGCAGAGACCAAAACACCATCCCTCGTTTCCTTCAGTTCAAACACCATATAAATTCTGACGCTGCCGACAGAATCTATAGACGCACGAGCTTCTGTTTGCTCCGTGAACGCATCCACCACAACGGGCGGGAGCTGGACGTTGTATCCAGAGTACTATTTAAGTTACACCTGCGCTTGACCCAGGACTTGTCCGCCGATGACTGGGACCTGATCGACCGCATCACCAGTGAGAAGGCTTTACACATCGCTGATGATGTAAGAGCCAGGCACTACAAGAAGTTTCAACATTTGCATGAGGCCCAGCACACACCCAGCCCACCTGACAGCAAGAAGACAGTGGTCAACCTGAGTGATGTGCCATTGGATGAAGCGGCTTTCTGGGCCATGAGCAAAGGCCTCAACTTTGCTGTGGCTCCGAAGTCCGTTCCCGTCAAGGATATCCTGTGCGGGGTGGAGAAAGTGATAGTGGCCCTGCCTGTAGAGACTGCGGAGGAGATCCGACAGGAGACGGTCAGGATTCTTAAGAACTCCCGCAAGCCAAATGACAATCTGACTGGCGCCGAGAGAAGAGCCCTTCGGTCCTTAAAAGCCAATGAGGCGCTCACCGTCCTTCCGGCTGACAAAGGTAATGCGGCCGTGGTACTGGATACGTCTGACTACAACCGGAAGATCGCCGCCGTCTTGGAGGATAAGGCTTACAGGAAGTTGAAGAAGGATCCTACTGATGCCATAGAGCGGAAGACTGTCCTTCTTCTGAAAAAGTCCCCGATTGCTGAGGAGGTCTGCCAACAGCTACGACCTCAAGGTTCCAGGCCACCTAGAATCTAGGGGTTGCCGAAAATCCACAAGCCTGACGTTCCACTAAGGCCCATTGTGAGCACCATTTGCTCTCCCACCTATCGCCTGGCCAAACACTTGGCTGGCCTACTGAGGACATACACTGGCAACGGTCCACGCCACGTGAGGAACTCCATGGAATTTGTCCATACATTGAACTCTCTCCATGTTGATCCCCACGACATAATGGTCAGTTTCGATGTAGTGTCACTCTTCACCAGGGTGCCTATAAAAGATACGATGGATCTGCTAGGACGACATTTCGAAGAAAACATCTTGAGACTCTTCCGCCATGTCCTGACCACCTCATATTTCACCTTCAACGGCCAGTTCTATGAACAAACCGATGGCGTGGCGATGGGCTCGCCACTCTCTCCGGTCATCTCTAACCTCTATATGGAGGACTTCGAGGAGAGGGCACTTGACTTGGCCCCACACAAGCCCCGCTGCTGGTTTCGCTACGTGGACGACACCTTCGTCATCTGGCCACACGGTCCCGACAAGCTCCAGGACTTCCTGAACCACCTAAATAGTATCAACCAGTGCATCCAGTTCACAATGGAAACTTAAATTGAAGGCCACCTCCCCTTCCTGGATACAGATATTTACAGGAGACACGGCGGTTCCCTGTCCCATAGAGTGTACCGCAAATCCACCCATACTAACCTGTACCTTAACGCTGCGTCCCACCACCACCCTTCCAACAAGCAAGCTGCACTTTCCACATTGGTGCACAGGGCTAGAGCACTGTGTGATCAAGACAGCCTACATGCGGAGTTGGTGCTCCTGAAGGATGTATTCAAGAAGAACGGATACAACAACCGGCAGATCCACAGAGTTCTCAACCATCGGCCCAACATCAGCTGGCCTGACGACAAACCGGGCTCAGTCGCCTTCCTTCCCTATGTCGGGACCATATTCAACCATATCAGCAGAGTGCTGTCCCAGCACAACAACAAAGTAGTGGGTCTGCCTCCAAACAAATTATCCAATTTCCTCCGGCCGGTTAAAAACAGCCTGGGCCTAAGGACACCGGGTGTATACAGTATCCCATGCGAGTGCGGGAAGGTCTATGTTGGGCAGAC